CAGGTTGTAAATCGTGTTTTTAAAAAGTAACTAAGTAACTAAGTAATTAATTACTTTTGAAAATAAGTAATCAGTAAAGTAACGGGATTACTTTTTGGGGGAAGTAATCAGTAATTAATTACTGATTACTTTTTTCAAGTAACTTGACCAACACTGGATATAACTCATGCATCTGTGCGCTGTTGTTCTCCAAGAACTATTAATAACACATGGCTGCACTCTGCTGTGCGACATGTGCTTTAATTACCACGAACGGACACTGCAGTTTGTCCTGAGTGAATCCCACACACACGTGTAGTAATCCACCACTGAAAATAGTCCCCAAAAATGTGCCGTTTCCTCAACTTTGTTTCATGTTTGCTTAAAACTAGACTTTCCAGCTGTTTTAGGAAACAGTTGAATCCTTTCCAAAGGGAAATATTTGAGCCCTTTACTTAAGATTTATTTATCCACATTACCAGCGGGCATGGATGTGAGAGTCTTTCGCTGCGTTTCCACCAAAGGTCCACATAATCTTAGTTAATGTGTGAAAACTTGCCAAGGAACTACAGGTTCCTTCAGCTGTTGGTGACACAGACCCTTATAAAGGAAAGGCAGAGCAGCCAGCAAGTTCAACTCAATTCAGTTTGATGTATCTGGGGCCAAAACACAACAGCAGGTCAATACCACTGAGAAATAAACTCTATTCAATTCAATTTTATTTACACAGCGCCAAATCACAACAACAGTCACCTCAAGGCGCTTTATATTGTAAGATAGAGCCTACAATAATACATACAGAGAAATAACCCAACAATCTGACAATATGACCCCCTATGAGCAGCACTGTGGTGACAGTGGGAAGGAAAAACTCCCTTTAGACTCAGCGAGGGGCGGGGCCATCTGCTGCGACTGGTCGGGATAAATGACATGCTGTGAAAGAGAGCCAGAGATTAATGGCCTTTTTATAAGTATAAAAGGAGGAACAATGAATGACCAATTTAGAAGAATGTGAAGATAGATGCTAAACGTGTGGAACGATGGGGAAGAAGCGGCCTTGGCCTTGAGGAGATTGTTTGTTGCGGTTGCTGACGCTAGCTTGACCAAGTAAGACACTAAAGATATTAAGTATGAAGAAGTCTACGCTGACAGTTAACGACTATAAGCTATTACACAAATACAACAATCAGTGTCGGAAAAGGAAGTGCAGGGATTGTTTTAAGCACAGCAGACAGACCCGTCTCCCCTCTGCCGCAATTTTACAAACTGGACTACTTCAGCCAGCTTTAACAGCCATTACAGGCCTTAGAAGTACTCATCCTTCTCCAGAATCAGTGTTAAACTATAAGGTGAAAGTGATACCTGCAACATCAGTCAAGAGTATTGGAAAAATACTCATATTCCTATCATTAGAAATAATAATGGAGTGAACCCTCTTGTGTCCAGGATCTCTCTCCGTCCAGTCAACGCCTGCCTGAGGCCTTTCCTTCTCATGTGACTGTATTTTCCGTTTTATTGCCTTTTTTGTGGCGAGTTCTTTCTTTTACTGAAAGAAAAGTAAAGTTTCCACAGTTTCTCCAGCTGTTCCATTGTCCAGCATTCTTGCTACTGGGGAAAAGTTGCCAATAGCTACTGGGAAAAAAACAAGTTCTAGCTGAGAGGCTGAACACAGAGCCAGTCAAAACTTGGGACACGCATGAAAAGCAAGGCTCACACTGAACCATCTAAATAATAATGGTGTCTTTATTCTAAAGCTGTCACATCGAGCAACTTTACTGATGTGTGATAGTTTTACCAGTCGTTGTAGAGCCTAACGCAACTGTAATGAGGAGTGACTTAGCCGTGTCTGGCTTTAGACTTGGAATAAATCGTGTAAACAGAGGCAATGGCAAACAGAGATAGTTACAGTCAGGCAGCCAGAACAGACAAAAAGGAAACGAGAAACAAGAGAAGACGACCATCATAATAAGAACTCTTCCAGACTGAAATGACGGTTAATTATATCGTTGCCAAAACCAACACGGGCCACTTTTCTCAGCCATCTGACACTTATTCCCGCTGCAGTTTCACTGACCCGAAAACTCACAAAGCACGTCCACCGAGGCCTCTGTCTAATAAAAATGTACTTTCCGTTTTATCCAATAAAAATACGATTTTTTTCCGCTCGACTTCAATAATAAAATACAGCTTCACTTTCCACTGACTTGGTATCAAACGGGATTTACCTTCCAGATTCTCAACCTTATCTGTTATTCTCAGCTGCTCCCTCGAGACCTATTCAAAGAAAAGCTTTTCCATTTTCATGATGAAGGCTGGATTGTGGACACTCGCAGCTCAGCAGCTCATATTTCAGTGCGAATGACCTCCAATCTGAAACCCCGACTCACCGTAGTCTGTGTGGAAGATTTGTCGGACGAGTAGCAGGAACCACTCTTTCGTCAAGCCGCCCATGTCCAGCCCCGCCTCCCCGACAAAAGTCACCCGCAGCTTCTTCTTTAGATCGCATCGCTTCCTCGTCAGCTATCGGCGACAAAGAGACGAAACAAACACACACATTTAGTCTCAGTTTGCATTGCAGAAACACTTGTTGCAGAAACCTTTGCACCCCTTGGATGGGTAAGAGTTGCAGCGCCTGAAGCGTCTGATGCGGGGTTATCCTGGGTGACACGCCTTGGCAATATTGTGTTGTGGATATCAGCCAGGGTTCTGTGGGTAAGAGTCTACCCTACCAATTGGGAGTTTGTCCAGCTGTTCTGCATCTGCTTTGTGGAACTGGTGTGCGATTGCTCTTATGGTGCCCTGTTTGAGATGCTTAAGAAATCTGGGGTATCAGGCCCATTATTATGGGTTATTTGGCTCCTGTAGGCTCCAATGCTGCCCTTTGTTAGCGCTTCTTTTTTTAACAGAGATGGTAAGCAGCAGCACCGTCTCCAGGTTGGGAAAGAGCCCAAGAATGTAGAGATCTTGTTGATGAGTGGGTTAAGAATGAAGCAGGAAATTGACAGACCAGTGGTTGCGGTGTCTGCTGGGATGTGGATGCTATTTGTTCTGGTAAAGAGAGATATGACAAAAGCAGCTGATTTACGGGTCCATCTACACTCCTACCCACATCTATGGTCATGATGAGGGAAGGAGTTATGAAAGGAATTATGAAAACTGCAAGCAAGACTAGGTGAGGAGCTCAGTGGTTCAGGAGATGCTGAGAGTAGAACTGCTGCTCCTCCACATCAAATGAGATCAGCTGACCAGGGGCCTCTGGACGCCTCCTGTGGAGGTGTTGCAGTCACACCCAACATGGGAAAGATTCCAGTGCAGATATGATGGAGAGATTGTGGTTCTCTTCTGGCTTGAGAACGCCACAAGAGCTTTAGGCACAGGTCTGCTCAGACTGCTGCTACAGACAGAAGCAGTAGAAAATAAGTAGATGCGGAAATATTTTCTGGGTAAAAAAAAAAACCTTGGGACATTGGGAAAAAACGGCATCCTCTGCTATAATTCCCCATAAACACTGTTACTTAAGTTGCTAAATGGTTTCTTCAAATGAAAGTATGAAAATGCTGTGATCATGTATTCCTCAGTGTCTGCAGACTGAATATCTTCACAGGGACGAACCAGCAATTAAAGACCAAAATGAAAGACATTTGGTGTGAACCTCACTGCAGGAAGAAAATAACATTTCACATAATTTAGACTTGGATTTTAGTGTTTATCTCAGATTTACGGTTACATTTCGGATTGACGGAGGTTGAGGGTGACACATGACTGCAAAACATTAAAGGCATACTTGCTGATCCTCATGGCAGGGTCTATATATTCACTGGCCGATATTCCCAGCATTCCCACATCACACGTTTCCAATTTTCCCCCCATTGCTTAAAACAACGTTTTAAGAAATTCTTTGGTTGTTGTTTGGTTTTTGGTTGTTATCACACTCTCAGATGTCCTAAAAATCCCAGTTTACACCCATGAGATTCTCCTCAGTTCCTTCTGTTTTCACGATCTTTGCTCAGTACTTCAGTGGAGACGGCACATTAACACATCTGTCATTAAATGACACTGAACCTGCACCAATCTGTGCTTGTGTATTTCTAAAGATCATATTGTTTTCTGATTGGCTTTCCGTGTGTTATGGCTTAAGGTCACTTCAGATATCTGCATATAATCTGCATATCTGCAGATATGTGTAAAGATGGTAGACAAAGGATGAGTTTTTAGGGACATGAATGTTCCTGGTTTGTCTTCATTTTAATAACCAATCATGTCTGAGCAGGTACTGACCAGGTAAACTGATAACATGGACAGCAAAAACAGAATGCATTTACCAAAATTCAAATTCAAAAACACTGGGCATTGTCTAAAGAGGACAAAGGTTTTTATTAGCTTTTTCTAATTTATTAACGATCATAAACTATGATTGGCAGACACATCAGGAAGTCTCGGCTCAGACAGCTGCTAGCATTTGTGCCCTTAGTTTGTCAGCTGATGGGTTAACGGGTTCCCAGATTTGTTTTTAGAAATCAGACATAGTAATCAGTAATAGGTTTCCATGCAACTGCCGTACATGTTATCAATTTTCCCCTAAAAGGAACTTTCTACTAAGATTACCAAAGCAGCCTTTATAAACCACCAAAAATAAAGCATAAAGCACCAAAATCAGAGAAACTGAATTTAGAAATTGCAGTTCGCACTGGAATAAAAATAACTGATAACAGATATCATTGGAAATTTGCAGGAGATTTTTTTATCTTTCTTTTTTAAAAATAAATAATCATCATGGCAGTTTTTCATGCATTAAAGATCAGACAACATTCACATTATTTCTAATTAATAAACGCCCCGATGACACCGGTCTACACTGCATGCTTTAACTTGCATATTTCAGTTTAAACATCTTGTAAAACGATTATACATCAAAAACTGAAATTTGTGAATGTACTAACCTCATCCAGTGAGTCGCTGAGAAGCTGTGCTCGTCGTACTTTAATGTTGAGAAACAGAAGGTTCATGTCCACTCTCTGCCTGCGAGAAACTTTACTGACCAGACTTTGCTGTGAAGCAAAAACACAGAACCCTAAACTCAACAGACAAGCATTTGTTGCTCATATACAGCTTCAGCAAATCTGCCTGCTCCGTGTTTCCTTATTACAACATTTTAAGTCTGGAATCAGGCTTTGTTAATGTGCGACTCACCCTGGCCTGACTGATCATCTGTTGCTCCGAGTCTTTCTGGATGATGGCTTTTTTTACCACCGTCGAGAGGATGAAGGGAAACTGACAGAAAGAAAACCTGAAAAAGAGGAAAAAATTAAGAATCATTAATAATTCTCAAGCAGAGTTTCTTAGTCTGTTTTTCTATCAGCAGTTTCATAAATATGTCTTTCTGTAACTGCATTCCTGACCAGCTTTCAAGTGTTTTCAAAATTCTATACTTTACCCTAATGAGCAGGCTCTGAAGTCTACACCCTCCAAGCCACATGAGCTCCACAAATCCCCCACCGCACCAGCCAGAGGCTGTAAGAGCCGGTCATTTCAACTGTAAACTCCAGATCCATTTTCTTTGTGAGACGTTAACGAGCCGTGACACAGCGTGAAATGAACTTCACGGCTTCTGCAAGTCTTTCCATAGTTCTGGATAAACTGCAGCTGTGGAAGCGTTATTTCATTCTGCTTATGAGGAGATACTCAATTTCACTTCCAGGAATCTTCAAAGGGATGTTAGACGACTTTCGGTCATGAGTAGCACTTACTCGGGGTAATGTACTGTAATATGGAGGGGCAATTCTAATAGGAATTTGCAGGCGAGTCTAAATCAGTCATCACTGACTATTTCATCATCCCATCATTACTACTATACTTTACTACACTACAAAGTAGTACAGCATTTTATGCTTTTTATTTAATGCTGAAATCTGTTGAGTGTTCAGTTTACACAAAACTAAACTGATGAAGATTTGAATAACAAAAGTGAAGTGAATCACAGTCATTCAGGTTTTGTATTATTGGTCAACCAATCTGAATCCAGATGACATTGATTTAGTCTCTTATATAGAGCAACCCAGGGTTATGACTGGATTTGAATCACAAGTTAAAGTAGAATATGTTACCTTTTTGGTATTTTCAGGAACATATCTTTGTGGAAAAGTTGTGTATCCATGAGAAATGAGCAGCTCTAGCATAACCTGCTACTGCAATCAACCATAAACTTGTTACATAGCAACAAATCAACTACTCACATGCTGACTACCATATTCAGTGATCTACAAGAAAGAAAATAAATGCCTACTTCATACAAAATTACAACAGGGTCTCGTTTGCGCCCGTTTGTCACCGAAGAGGTACGCCCCACCAAAATGAGAGATGTCAGCTATTTCATTACATGCAGTGGTGTAAATTTAATGTCAAAGTTTCATTAGTTTATTATGCTGCTTGAAAGGATGTAAAATTGCAGTAAAGATGCTTGATTTGAACAGAAATGCATCTATGCTAGCAAGAAATTATTCCTACAAATCTATATGGTAATACAACATATCTCAACCCATAACAACAAATAAAGAAAGAAATATTCAAAGTGTTCTGGTACCTAATATTACTTCAGTTATGCCTTATCAGCCTATGCATGCATTTAAAGCCAGATGTGGTCAGAATGGCTGGCTTTGGTGTAGGTAAGGTAAGCCTTGGTCCTTCAATTTCTTTGTTATTTAATACTTGAGTTGGAAGATACAAGCAGTCGTACTTTTTGGATTCGGTTTTAAAAGTTTGTTAGTTAAGATATTAGTTAAGAAGCCTGAATCTAATAATAAAATTGGTTCAAACTTATGTGTTTAATAATTATATTTACATCATTTAACATTCATAGAATTACAGCAAGATGGTGCCATCTTATATGCCATTAGTTCCACTACATTATCAATTTATGGACTAAGAAAATGTTTGGGGGCTCGTCCGGGATTTTCACCAGGACAAGCCCTCTATCATACCCTTTCTATATGATAGTTTATATATATATATATATATATA